CGTGTTATCTCAGATTCTCCAGCATCTGCAGTTCCTACGATCTCTGTTTCTATGCTGCGGATGGTTAGGATGTAGAATACACTGCCTGAAAGTCTGGTGGACACAGATTCAGTTGTGGCTTTCAAAGGAGAACAAGATCATTATCTGAAGAGAAAAGATTTGCACCGCTCTGGGGTAAAAGTGAATCAGTTACACTGGTGAGTTGCTCTTGCAGACAGCCAGCAAAGAGATGATGGGCCAAATAGATACACCGCAGAAGGACAGCACTCCATAATTCTGTTCAGAATTTGTTGCTGAATTTTGCCTCAAAATTTGCCTTTTTATATTTCTGCCTCGTATTAGACTGAGGAGTACTAATTGCAGACAGGAAGTAGATGTAAGGCTATTGGACTCGATTAGTTGAACCAAGTGCGATTTGAAGTTTCTGATGAAAGGCGGGAATTCGATCGCTCTGAGCAGGCCAGGTTAGAATGCAGTGCGATTTGAACATTGCCCTTCGGAGGCACAGCATCTGGTGCAATTTATAATCAGGGATATCATGTAAAAATATCAAAATGATGGAATCACGGCTTTGCTGAATGACTTGCTGCATTGCTTGATGTACCTTGAATCTGGAAGCAGAAAAGTGATTGAATTAAGCAGAAGGCAACATACGATGTAGGGCATGAATGTTTCTCTGGTGAATTGTTGTCCCCATACCATGAAAATGACATTCAAGCAGCCAATGTTAGTGAATGGGAGGTATCCATATGGATCACAAAATACCAGCAAGAACGTAAAAACAAAAAGAACTGCGGATGCTGTAAAACAGAAACAAAAACAGAAGTTGCTGGAAAAGCCCAGCAGATCTGGCAGCATCGGTGAAGAGAAATCAGAGTTAATGTTTCGGGTCTGGTGACCCCTCCTCAGGAATTGCTGGGCCCGAAACATTAACTCTAATTTCTCTTCACCGATGCTGCCAGACCTGCTCAGCTTTTCCAGCAGTTGATGTTTTTGTACCAGCAAGAGCATGTTGGGCTGAAAGGCCTCGAGTCACAGAGTTTTTACAGTATGGAAATAGGCTGTTCAGCCCATTATAGAATTATACAGTTCAGAGGAGGCCCTTTGGCCCATCTAGTCTGCATTTACACAAATGACTCCAAATCTACACTAGTCTCATTTTCCACTACTTAAGCCTCAACTTGCTTAAACCTACTTGCTAACTCTTCTAATCACTTAATCTTAAAGATACTCCCTTTACCTTAATTTTGGTCTCCTTCTCTTATTCTGACCTTTACTTATCTCTGGTGCTTCTCAGTTAATCCCTTAATAACCTCCCATCTCTTGGGCCTTCATCTGCTCTTGCCCTCACTGATCTGTAAATGTAGTTTGGAAAATAAGACAGCAGTTAAAAAAAAGCAAAACCTCTGTCCTCTACTTCACCTAACTCACGGAGGCCTCTTTTTTTAATACTGCACCTCAGTTGTTTCAGGACCTGGTTTAAATCAGATTAACTGATAATCCCAGCTAACTATCCAAGTTACAGCCCATCACTCACTAGGATTGCTTTTGCTCTCTGCAGCTCCAAAAGTGACGTAACTGCCTCCCCTTTAGAATTAAAGCCTACTAATCAGTTGAAGTTTTTCCAATAGAGTCGGCCTGCAGTTTCCTGGTTTATTCCTTTCACCAGTCTTGAATAATGGTGCCACATTAACTGTCCTCCAGAGAGAAGTTCAAAGTGAATGTCAGAGGCTCTGCAAACTCCTCTCTTGCCTCCCACAGCAGCCTTGGATAGATTTCATCCAGGCCTGGAAATTGATCTATTACCAAGCCTGCTAAAACTTCTAATACCTCCTCTCTGTCGATGCTAATTCATTCAAGTATTCATTCATCCTCCCTGATTTCTGTGACTACATGGTCTTTCTCTACAATGAACATAGTTTTGGTTTTATATTTAGTTTTGGAAACAGTTTGTGAGTATGTAATTGAAGTGAGCTTACCTTCTGCACCAGGGATCCTTCAAAAGCTCTTGAGTCATAACAAAGATGATTTTTCTGCTCTGGCTTATACTGTTCACAATGGATTCCAGCTCAGAAATTCCAACCTCAGAGTCCCTTTCTTCCAAGCAAAACTGGAACATAGTTTTTTGGTCCTGTTGCTCCAAAGGCAATAAATATTTGTTGACCCAGTTAATGTCATTTTTGGCATGAATTATATATGCATCATACTCAAATTGAACTTCCTGATGGTCTATTTCCTTAAAGCCAAATATTCGGTTGACAGACACGTTCCAATAGAATTCTAACCACCATCCGTGAAAGTGAATCAGAAACACAGCAAAGATGAAAACAAGTATAATGCTGCTACTCATGATAAACGCACCCTTGAAAGGAGCAACATCTTTGCAGGGAGATATGTCAAAAGCTACAACCGTATGGTTGTGGTAACTTGGTGGAGTATTGCAGAAGTACTGACTATTCAAGCCAGGGACGCTGCTATTGGTCTTATTGAGCCAGGTAACAAACCAGGAAATACTTTCACAAGTACAATCAAAAGGATTGAATCCCATATAAAGAACTGTTAG